CGCCGAGTGTCAGAGGGGTTCGATTCTCTGTACAGGGAACGTAAGTGGAGTACCAGTGAAATATTACCGGCGATCTCCGCAGGCATCCGCCGGGCTATTAGTTAATGTTGACAGATAACGAGCGATCATTGGGATATATTTAGAGAAAGGGAGAGGGGAACGATTAATAAACTGGCTGGGTGAAAATCATTAATCACCCCCCAGCCGTATTTGCATTCTCTAGATGCTCTACTCTATTTGTGGTAAGTCGTATTGTGCCATCATACGTACTGTCCTAAATCACGGTGAGAACGTTGAACAAATTCAATGAACGCATCTCTACTTCGCGTTATCTATTATTTGAAGTTTCGTGTATAAATCAAATTTCTCTCGATATGTACGATCAATGATTCGTCAAGTACTCGATTTTATTTTATGAACATAGTACTCTAGAATAATATTTAATAAAGCTGGGAAGAATCTCTTCTGTCGTTAAATCCGTAAGATTTTTGTTAATTAGTCGTGAGAGAGTTACAAAATTCAGTACGTGACTTCATTAACGAGTCGTTAAAAGCTCCGCTCGAAATTATCGGCCCGGCACTGGCATACCCATCCAGTCCTCTCTCCCCCTTCCTCTCTCTCTCTCTTTTGTAAATTTAATTAACGTTCAAACGAAAAACCAAGATGAACCAATTTGAACACGAGCCTACGCCGTCGACCATTCAAATATTGAATAACTCGTTTCCACAAAAATATGAAAAATCCTTGCAGTCTCGTCGTTTCACATTAGTTTCCACGGTTTATCTCAGTTTGGGAAAACTTAAAAATTTTTCTAATTAAAATTGTTTCCTCACCTGTGTCAATTTCGTCTTATTACGTTTTGAGCAGTTAAATTAATTGCTCGACGCTACACTAAACGCTTTTTGGACGATCATTACAAATTGCATACTGTTGATCAATTAAAATCAATTCGTCGTCCCAGATGAATATTTTTCTTCATATGATTCTTCGTATGAATAAATTCATGTCTCCGACGAGAAGTCATCCTTCGGGAACGGGCATTCTCTTTAGATGTCGGGGAGTGAACAGCGCGAACAGCCACGGGGGTGTTGTATTGCCGTCACGGAGGAAAAAGGACGTGGTAAGGAGGACGTGGACGTTGTTACAACGTAAATTCAATCTGTATTTCAAACGTTTCGTCGCTCGAGGAATTCCTCCTTATCGTACCGCTTTAAAACGTTATCCGGCCTCGGCCCGAAATGCTTTTTACAGAAATTTCAATTCAACGAAATTCGAGATGTTAAAATGTTCGGTGGCTCCAAATTGAAATTTCGACTCACCGTGGCTGCTCCTCATTTTCAAAAATATACTTTATCGAGTACTCTCATACGACAGTAATAAAAGTTCGTACTTTCATCGCGAATTTAAAACTGTGTAAAAAGAAGTATGTGAACGAATATATACAACGCGCACGCATTTGTCGCGTAAATTGTAATTTTTCCGTTAGAAACAAACCGACTCGGAATTTGTACCGAGTAGAACGTCGAAATATATAATTAATCGGTCTTTGGTTGTCGAACTCTGACACGGAAAGCGTGCCAAGAACATCAACCGTTCTCTCGCGCGTTAGATTCGTTAAAAGATTTCTGAAATATACTTTCCACCTACCCGACTCGGCTTCTCAGCTGTTGTATCAACTACTCGCCGGACGTATTTTTTCCCTTAAAGACCGTCCGAGCGAAATATTTTAATTGCTGATGCGACCAGCAAAAAATGTTTCCATTTTTGATCTACCTTTTTATAATCTGTCCAAGGAAGATTGCGCCATTAATAATTCCCTTTTATAAAAAATTATGAACGTATTCCGGCGTGTAATTTTTTCCTGTCCACTGATAAAACGTATTACCATCCTCGTTACTCTCTTAATTGAAGAGAGAAAAATGAAAGTAATTTCCCTCAAGAGAATAAACACGACACAGCGCTCGTTACCTAGCCTGGCAAAATTACATTTGACGTAAGGAGCGCTTAATTAAAATTTCCAGAAGCCGCATCAAATGATTCTGTACTAATATCGAACACTTTTTATTCTCAAATAAATTTTAGTTTTGTACCGAAGATATATGCGATACGCTCTGATTGCTCTTGCCGCGGGCAACTTACACCCACGGGTGCGATTCCACCGAACAAGTTTGCGTGAACTTCCAAACTGAAGGGAAAAATATTCGTGCTATCTCCTTCAAACGTTAAACCGCGATTCAAAATGTGAGTCATGGACTCAGGTCGTCCCTGGCATTGCCGCGATACGTCACCGGAGACCAATTTTAAATTAAATTACAAAGGCAGATTTCATACAATTTTAATATGCAACCGCGTGATAGACGTTTCTGCGATCTCCTTTTACTTCGAACTCTCTCTATTATCAAAGTTCGGCATCAAAGAACGTGTCTCACAATAAGGAAGAGGGCTGCGTCAAAGGTTGGTGACTGATGGAAAGTATGATAAAGACATCCTCATTTTCCTGCGTATTAAAGAGCAGCGACGTTCTATAACCGTAGGTCAAAGTCGGGAAACAAAGTCTCTGCACGAAATTTATTTAGACACGGAATTCACTCGATTCCCGTAGCAATCTCGCGATTGGAGCATTCATCCCGGTTGAACTTCGCCAGTTCCCACTTGAGCCGAGTGTTTTCTGTTTGGCCGTCGAGAGGATGCTTCAACGGAACGAGTTTGTCGAAACTACTGGCCCGATGGGCCAACGATTGACGAGCTTACTCGAGCTTCAGATCTTATGCTCAAATACCGACCAATTTTCAAACTCGTCCAGCTCGCAATCCACTAATCTACGTATCATTTTCGCGCCAACGTGTACCGATTTGTTGAGAAAGATCGAACGATTCTTCACACTCTAATTCTCATATTGTCGATTCCGATATGATTCGGAATGGATCGCTCATCAGATCATTTTATCAGTTGGCTCGAAAATGATTTACGGCAGGAAGGTAAATTGAAAATAATACTCGACACGGTGCATGACAGCTATCGTCGATCATTATACCCTCGTCCAGACCGATGACGAGGGTTTTATTATATCGTGGCTGTCACGGTTAATTTTATATCTTCCATCGTCCGCAGAATCGCAAGCTACACTGTACGATCTTTTCGAGCCACCATGCACGGTGAGACGTTGCCACGTTGAGGATAAATAACGAGACGAATTCTGACTCTCACACGTGAACACGATGCCTCAGAATTGGCTAATTCGACGAGACAAAGTAAACGCATTACTCATGTGGTTCAATACCGCCTGAGAGCGTTCTCTCCTCGCTGAGAACTTTCTTCGATCGTTCTCGGTTCGACGAGAGTTCTCGCACTTCGGTTGTCGATTCAGTATTGATAAAAGTGTATCTGGATTTCGTGCGATTCGAACGTATTCACATTTGCTCGTCTGTTGCGCCGTGCGGAGACTTATGTGGACTCAGAACGCGATCGAAACGAATCTCCTCGCGACACACATTTATTTTATCCGTTATATCGACGTAAACCGAGTAAGCCGAAGAAGCCTGTTCTCATTTATGGCAACATTCCCCTGTGTAATAAAATCCTAGGATAATGTCCTTTGGGACGGCCTGAAATCCCGAAGCGGTTCAGGTGGCCCGAATCGAAGAGGGACCTGATACCAATTTCGATACGGTCTAATCTCGATCGAAACTCGTATAAACAAGGGCAGCGTGAGAATTCTCAACACGTGACTCAGTTGTAAATTAACGCCGAACACTTTGCCCGTTTCTGGCTAGCTCTGAATGGACAGAGTCTGATTAATAAACGACTAATGGAAACGAACCTCGACTCAAAAACGAGCCCCTCATCTGCGAATATTTTTGGGAGGAAACTCACGTTCATCGATATTCATATCACGATTTTAACATTCATTCGCGGCAACGTTTTCCTGTCCGAAAGTCTACGAAATTTTTCTGAACAAGTTGGATTCCCTTGCCTCGCGTGTGTCTTCCCCTCTGCGTCTAGTGCACGACTGTCGTTCCCGATCACGTCGCTTCCAGTCTGTGGAAATATTTTATGTAACGCGCTTTCTCTCGCGTTCGTACGAACGAAAAACACGAACGCAACATCGATAATTTTTCATGAATTGCTTTATACCGTAAAAAATTCTCGAGTCAATATTTGTCCGATTGAAATATTTGCTCGGGGAGAATGTTTGTCTTCGGATTTTAAATACGTGCCCGACGCGTCACCAGCAGGTCGACTGGTTCATAAAGGATTTAAAACTCCGAAACTGTATCGATTCGAAAAACGAGGACGGTAGAGAAAATAAAAGGGAAAAAATGTGTCGGAGTATAATGACAGGGTAGCAGTACCTAAATATGCGAGTGAATTATTCATAAGGGTATCGCGATGCGAAAAATCTCTGCTAAAAATCAATTTATATCCATCGTCCGAACGACACTTGGACGTACAGATGCTCACGGTTGATTCAACGAATACGCACCGCGAAGCAGAGACCTATCGTTTTGAGATTTGATCATTCTAGAAGGGGTGGTACGTGACCCGTGCACGAATTTCGTCGGTGAATTTTGCGTTTGGAATTCGAAGCACGCCGCGTTTAGGATGCCACTCGTCGTCGGTTCGAGTTAATTAAAGTGACCTTAGGCAAACGGGATTAGTATGGTTAATTGATAGGCTCAACGCGATTTAGGGACAAACAGATTAAACTATCAATATGTAATTCGAATCCAAGATCGACTAATGCCTAATAGAGTCTGATTAAAAATTACATCACCGCCGCGTAACGTTGGCTACGGAAAACGAACAGTTATTCTCACCGATTCAAAACCGTGACATGACTCGCCGGTTCGACCTGATCGCGATCTAATTCTAAGAATATGAAATTTCACATTCCGAATCTAACTTGCAAATTGCTGGGAAGCTAAAAGATTGTGAACGACCGTGCGAGAAGACCTAGTTTACCCGTTGGAGTCACTCCGTCCGTAAAGAGGTATACTTACCCGGAAGTGGCTTGTATGTCGACTTCCGGCCAAGAGGGTCTCCGGCGGCAGAACGTCAAAGGCGGTCGATCGCCGGAACCGGTGCTCCTGCGAAAGGAGCCGACCCTACGGGGAGACGTGGTGCCCGATGCGCTTCCGGCGGCCGGGTGCACCGTGAGTCCCGGCGCGGAAGTGCACTCGAGGGTGCGTCTCCGTGTCGACAACGATCGACCATAGTTGCCCGTTGCCATCCCCGGCGGTGGTACCACCTGAAAAAAGAAAAACAGGACGTGACAGGCAAGTAACACAATGTACGAAAGTGTAGGAGACGTGAAATTGACACGGTGAACGTTCGGGTATCTGCGATCTATTTATAATCGTAGGTACGTAGCTTTTTTATTTGCGACCGATGAAACTGATACACGTTCCATTAAGATCGGTGGTTCCATTAAGTCGCTTTATGGGCACTTATTCCGGCTACTCGCGCTCGAATTTTAGGTGTAACGCGTCCATTTAAGCGCGGGGTAAACGAGAAACCGAGACGTTCGTGAGTCTGGCCGGTTCCAGGAGCTTTAGACTCCTTTTTTCTACTCCTCTCGCGGTTTGTACAGGGTGTGTGTGGCTCGCGTGGCGGGGATGATTAGCTGGCATTAAGTATTATAGCCGATGCCGAGCTTAATGGAGTTTATACGAGGGTCAGAGGGATCGCGGCTAGCCTCTAATTGCAACGTGAAGCCTTTCAAAAATGATATTACAAATATGCGCGTAATTCACATCGTTCATTTCACTTTATTTATTGCCATTAGTTATTGACTCACGGCGACCGGTTAATAACTGTTTTCCAAATGTTGTACATTTATACTAAGGGGCTGTTGGTACGACTCAGAGGCTGATGAATGAAGAAATAAGACGAAGCGAAGTCACGATACGGTCTAATGGGTAGTCGTGGATAGGAAGAATTCAGGCGAGTTCTCGCGGTAACTAGGATTCAATGTTTTGTCCTCATTGTCAGTTCGAGTTTGACCGATAATTTACATATCGATACATAAACGATACACGATGATCAATTAAAGTGGAGCGTGTTATAATTTTGCTACAGCCTCGATCGAGCCTCGACGAAGAGGCCTACATAAACTTGAATAAGACGTAAAAAGAGAACAAGAGTTTGTTCTGCTCGATACGCAATACGTATTCACGATCGTATTCCCACGTGGCCGGAAGTTTATTAAAACTTTTCGCGTCCTCGTTTGATGAAAATGAGGACGTTAGAGGACGAAAGCGCGTACATAAGTACTCGACGAACGACTCATGTATAACGAACCGAGACTATCACGAATCGAGCAAATTAAACTGATAGCTTACACCGATGTTAAATCGTCTCGAACGCTCCTAGAGATCGTCGACGAACCGACAGTCATAAGAAGATATTTGCGACATGAGAAACGTATTCCGTTTTACATCCAACGATGTACAGACTTGCGTATTATAATTTTGAAAGAATTAAAAATCACGCTCTCACCTTAGGGTATCCATAGGGGGTGGCTTGCTGGGCGGTGGAGTTGGTGGAGCCGGTGGTACCGGTGACGCTGCCAGTGGATCCGCTCCTCCCGGTCGTGCTGGACCCGGAATCCTCGCGACTGAACGAGAATCGCTTCGGGCTCAGGCTGAGGCTCGCGACGCTGTCGCTCACGTACTGTTGCAACGAGTTGAAGAAGCTCATCGTTGGGTGTCGTTTCTTCACGCTCAAACGCTGGACATCCTCTCAATGCGACGCGGCCACGTACGCATCGACCACGGAACACGCGTTACCACCTCGGCCTCGGGAACTTTCACGGTTCTTCGCGTCGCGGTATCGATTCTGCCTGACAGCCATTTGCAACTGAGTGGAACACCTTAAGTCGTCCCCTTCGTACCGGTCAACGAGCTTCCAGTTCCTTCAGGCTTGAACCGTGGCATCTGTAACAGCACGTCCGATTCGTTGATACATACAGTTTCGTGCGACTCAGGATTAGATTTAGCGATGACAGACGCATGCGAAAATGCATCGTCTTGTGACCGCATCGAACGTGCACGAGACATATTAAACGTCGATAGTCGAACGCGTGTCACGATACTTGAACGATCGAACGATTGAAACACATTTTTTTAACTGACTTCAGTGGCTAGACGATGGAAACTCGGAAACCGTTGTATTTGCGTTCGGCGAACGGAACTGCTTTCAGGAGTCGCGGGAAAATGAAACGGTGGCCCATTGCATTTCCGTTTGCGGTTTCGTTCGCGTACACAGGTACGCGTGTAGGTGATATCAGTGGACGTCGATCGATGGTCATGGCTTTCGAACCGACGCGATTTTACTCTTTGTTAATCCCGATGAGAACTTTGCCGCAGTTACGTTTATTGCGAGTCGCGGTCATCAAACTTTTTTGATTTCATGCAATCGTCAAATGCACGCGAGAAATTGCCTTGATTGTTCCGCCTTTCCTTTTATACTCGCTCTCAAACGATGTTTGTTAATACTGCTAGGAAACCTTCGACGAATCGAATGCGAGAACGAAGCGTTTCGATTCGCTCTGTCGAAACGAGAAGTCGTCTAAGGCATCCGTCGATGAATCACGTCTGTTCTCGTTGTTCGCCCCTGTATGTTTCACGAGGAAACCATACGCGAAATGTCACGAAGCTGCGGCGACGTGACGCAGTTTCTCGTGGACGTTTCGCAACCGCGATTAATTAACCCCTTGATCGATAACGCTTGAAGATCCAGCGAGGAGGACCCGGACATTCTCCTTGCGGATATCTATACCTCGGGACTTCCCTAAGGCCGACAGAAAGCCCCGGCCGCCGTCCTCGACGACGATTTGCATCGAAATTATGTTGCGAACCTTGTTAAACTTCCGCCTTCCACGCACTCCCAAGACTTCTGACCTGAACTCCATTACGGTCTTTTAATTTATTCATCAACTTCGATTCTTTTATCATTTTCAAACATCAGACGTTCCCTAGCGACGCGAACGAATAATTCATTCCAATTACAGATTTCGGTATTACGAATTTAGAGATCTTTAATGATCCTGTCGAAACTTCAGCCTCCTGAAAGTTCGTGGAACTTCGGGAACTGAGCAGTTTCGGGATCTTACGATTTAGCGAACCTTGAAATTTATGAATTTCCCATAGCCAGTCTCTCAAGCGCTAAGTCGTATTCCCTCGAACGAGACTTTCCGTTAGCACCACCACGTCCCTCTTGTTCTCCGTCATTACCGCGGCGAAGTATAAGTTTGATCGAGCACTGTTCGCGAACAGAGTACCGAATTCGCGTCAGCGTTCATTTTTCGTGTGCCGGTCGAACGCAAGGCATGAGTTTATAAAGCGGTGCAATAGATCCGCTCTCGTACACCTCGTCTGCGGCTCTACCAAAGGAAACTATGTCGGCGGAATTTGTTTATCGTCGTCGAACTCGTCGGCCGAACTTCAACGGAGACGACTTCATTAAAACTTCCATACGACGACACACGAGTATAGTTTAAGTCTCGTTACTGAACACTCCGTCCAGGATTTAAGTTCGTGCGATTATGTTCCATCTTTGAACGGTCGACTCAACTTCTTACAACGAAAGAAATTTACAACGAGGGAAGTCAAATTTATCGTAACGACGAAAATCAATTCGAGAATGATAAAGATTTCATCGAAGGGAGAAGTGTCAGAGGAAAATGTCTACTTTGATTTCTTGTCGACGTTCCGGTGGGGAAAAATTTTCCTGGAATCATGTTTCCACTCGGAATTGCTTCCACATTAATATGTTTCGCTTAAGTCGTTTGATTTCCGGATTGATTTATCCGGAACCTCCGGGGAACGTTCATCACGGTGAAAGGTCACGGGAAAAACAGATATGCCAACGATTCACGGGTAGCACATCTGACATTTCAATATTGATAAGTATTTTATTAAAAAGACTTCATTACAGACGAATACTCCTCGTTTTAATAACTGATGTATGCTCACTCAGTCACGAGAAGTGCATTCGTACGAATCTTGACGAACGCGAATGGAAAATACGCAACGTCCGAAATTTATTGCCTACGTTCGTCATTTTTCATCGTCCTGTTGACCCACCGCCTGCAGTAACAACGTTATCCCATAAATTATATTTGGTCGCGAAACAGGAGACGAGAGAGGAGAAGAAAAAAACTGGTGACAGAACTTGGGGACGTCGTCGGAGATAATAAGATTGCGAGCATAATTGCTTTCGAGAGAGTTTCTGAAAGACATCGATGAGAACAGCACGGGATTCCCTTACTGCGATAATTGCTTCGGGAGCTCGTTCCCAGTATCTACTTTTATAAATTTATCACGCAACGATACCTCGGTCGAATCAGAGAAAAACCCATTTCCGGGATCAACCGCTTTTCCTTTCGACGAATTTCGTCGGACCAAAATTAAAGAAGCGTGGAAGCGTAAACGAACGATCGTATGTAAGATTCATAGACACGCGTTCTCAAGCACTTCTGTCGTCGAGTGACATTTTAAACAAGACATCGTTCAATGCGTAATAATTGTTGTTTGCCGTTTGACGATCGGTCGTTAACGAAGAAGCGACGTATTACTAAATACGTGTCAGCATTTCAACGTGATGCAAATACGGCATCGAACGATGATGTCAGGTGTCATCGTGCGATAGCGTATGATTCCACCTGACGTGACGTGTAATACGATAGCGCGATCGTACGCGACGCGATATTAGCGTACCTCCGTCGCAATACCGTCTTGACGGAACATGAAATTTTCAGTAAAAATTCATAGAAACAAATGGGGGGAGCACGAGGCTCAAACGAGTCGAACCAGTGGATGGCGTTGGAAAATATTTAACGCATACATCAATTAACCCGGCTCGATGTACGTGTCAGACGTAAAAGTTTCTAATATCCAGCTCGCTAGGTCTGCACACAATTTCCCATTAAAACTTGGCCAGCTGCTGTGCCCGGGAAACACATTCATTAAGATCTACTCCCATTACCCGTTCCTCTGTCCAAAACGCACCGAATAATTGATTCCAGCCACTCGATTTAATTAGAAAACGAAAGACACCTCGTTCGTTTTAATTAATTGCGTCCACGTGAAACGTTTCTCGTCGCGGTAAATAAACAGTTTCGAAAATAAGAACGACTGCGACAATTGTTTAATGCGTCGAACAAAACGTACCGATCAATTTGAACCATTGTCTCCGCTCATCGGTGGAAAACGTCATTTGAATACGTTCGAACGCATGGAGTGCGCTCGTCGTGGACGAGTGCCGGACGAAAGGGCCGCGTTACCATCACGTTCCACGTTTTCAATTAGTCTCTTTAACGCGAATATTCGCAGAATTCACTGTTCGAAATCGAATTACAAAAGAGGATCGAACATGTTTCGGTAATCTTATGATCAAGTGTCGTAATTCGAAAATCAAACGTTACGCCAGACCGAGTAGAATCATCGTTAGTTTGTTGAAACTGAACTAACGGAACTTTTATTTCTGAACATTATATCGGCGATGACGTTCGTCACCCAGTTGACGATTTCATTACTCGATGGATCATATAATTATGGTAATGAGCAGAAATCAGATTAGACAAGTATTTTCGCTTGGTAGTCCGCAATTAACTCGACAAGTCCATTACGGATTTAATTAACACGTCGCGAATTTCGTTGAAACTTCCTTAGCAGCGTCACGATCGCTGGCTCGTTTCGAAACGCATTATTCGCGTTTCATACGAGATCGTAACTCGAAGGATCGGGAGGTGCGTCGAGATTAATTAGATCGGACCGAATATTATCTTCATGAAATTCGAAAGTCGATCTCCTCTACCCGTAAAATTAGCCGTACTGGAAGAGATTAACTTGGACTACGTGTCAATAGAGATTGCGTCGAGGTGTGCGAAGGCAAAGAGATTAAACGAGCAGAGTGCTGCGAATATACTCTCGAAACGATAGAATTTTAGCAGAATTTTAAAGAAACTTCGCGTATTAAATAATTCGGAACGTTTGGGGAGCCGAAGAGACCAACGTGTCTACTTCGTTTACGTTTTTTAACACTCTCCTCGTTAAACCGGTCCAAGGTGTGCTCGATTATGAAATATTTTTTGCACTTTCGAAACGATGGAGCTGCATTTATTACGGGCAACGGTATCCTTGTAAAAATACGGGTGGGAAGGATAGAAGAATTCGAAAGGAAGTGCATTCCCAATAAGGGGTGCAAGCATAAAACGCTTGATTCAATATAATCGTAAAATCCAAGGAGATCCACCGGATGGAATACATTTTCCTCGAAGGGAAAAACCTTCTGAAAGGATGAGCAGTCACGGACGAACTCCACGTTTCGACTAACGAACAACGAATAAAATGTTACTCGTTCAAATGGAAATAATAGTTGTCGTCGAATCGAGATTAAGGACGCACGATTTTCTGCTCGATTGCTTCGACGGCTATTTTTCTCGGTCTCAGTTCTTCAACAGATGAATCGATGAATTCATTGTCAATTGATCGAGTACTCGTCTCTTTAACGTTGTATGAATCCTTGCGTAAAAACAATGACAAGGCATTGAAATTTTAACAGTTACTAGATATTACATTCATAAAACACTCTACAAAATTTTAGAAATTCGAAAGGTTATTACATCGAATGATGACCAAAAAACAGGTGGGACAATTTTCTAAACCTTACTCCTCTGTAATTATAATTTTTTCTAAAAGTTCATTGTATCAAATGTTGGACACAGCTTTTTATTACATGTCTTAAACTTTTGGCAGAGATCTTTCGGCTCATACAACCGTAAATATTCCTCGATATAAACCGGCACTGCGTCATTGTCGTGGTAATACGTTAAATCGTGAAATAAGTTCATATTCAGCGCGTTTATTCATTCTGATAATGATGCCTGGAACATTTTTTGCAATTTTTCATCTCTAATGATCGTTTATTTATA